TTCTTCTAGTAAAATATTTTTCAAATCATCATCCATTACCCGGAAGGCCGCAACAAAGTCAAGATTGAATAGTACTAATTTTCACTTCAGTCTTCTTCAATTCGTCCATGCATATAAACTTCGGTCATTTCCAAATAAATAATCGTGCAAGCTCCAAATAAACCGTTCAACGATTCGATCATATCAATAAATGGCAACTTCCTCACTTGGTGTTAGAAAATAGAAGAGGTTGTTGGTTGTATGAATAGAATAAGTGATTTTAGTGAGGTGTAATGTAGATGATGTGTTTTAGAGGAGAGCTCTTGTCTCTAGAAAAGTAGTATTGTATTGATGTTTCTTGGTTTTGCTTGGTTTGCAAATGAGTACAATGAGTCCTATTTATAGGAGCTAGAGGATCATTCTAGATCCTTATTAAATGCTATGATTCTAGAGTATTCTACATCTATGTCTAATTACTCTAGATTTTACATAAGAATTCTCTAGTAGAGAATTTTCTAGAATACTTTCTAGCTTTAACTCTCTAGATCATCTCTAGCCTTTTCTACATAGAATATTCTAGATAAATGCATCACTATTTAATACTCCTCCTTGATGCATTTGTCGGTGACTCCAAGCATTCTTCGCAGAAACTGGAATCTGTCTCTTGGCAGGGCCTTCGTGAAAATATCTGCCAATTGTTCTTCTGTTGGGCAGTACTTCATCTCAATATGCCCCTTTGCTTGGACATCTCTCAAGAAGTGATACTTGATATCGATGTGCTTAGTACGATTGTGCTGAATTGGATTTTTAGCCATCGCAATAGCTGACTTGTTGTCGCAAAATATTTGAGTCGCAGAACTTTGCAATTCACCCATGTCTTCTAATATTCTTTTTAGCCATATAGCTTGGCACGCTGCTCCGGCTGCTGCAACATACTCGGCTTCGGCTGAAGATAGTGCAACAGAATCTTGCTTCTTTGATCCCCATGAGAAAATTCCCGAACCCAGCTTAAATGCGTAACCGGAGGTGCTTTTCATGTCATCTTGAGATCCAGCCCAATCACTGTCGCTATATCCAGTTAGTCGTGAGTCAGGAGTTGTTTTGTACCAAATACCATAATTGATGGTTCCTTGTAGATACCTAAGGAGTCTCTTTGCCGCTCCATAATGAGTCTCAGTTGGACTTTCCATGAACCTCGAGAGCAAACTTGTAGCATACATGATGTCCGGCCTCGTAGCCGTTAAGTAGAGTAGACTCCCAATCAAACTTCGGTAATTGGTTGCATCCGTCTGCTTTGACCCATCTTCTTTCTTCAATTTTTCATTAGGAACCAGTGGAGTAACGACGGCTTTGCAGTCTTGCATTTTAAACTTCTTTAGCATGTCCTTAATATATTTTTCTTGAAATAAGAATATGCCTTCTTCTTCTTGACTTATCTCCATGCCAAGAAAGTAGTGCATTAATCCCAAGTCACTCATCTCAAAAGTGTTCATCATGTCTCTCTTAAATTCTTCAATTAATTTGGAATTATTTCCCGTGACAATTAAGTCATCAACATATAGAGAGACGATGAGAATGTCAGATTTACCTTGGGATTTGATGTATAGTGTAGCCTCGTTCTTACTCCTCCTGAACCCTTGACGGGTGAAGTATCCATCAATCTTGCTATACCACGCTCGTGGAGCTTGTTTGAGCCCGTAAAGCGCTTTCTTTAGACGAAGAACTTTTCCTTCTTCTTTGATGAATCCTTCTGGTTGCTCCACATACACTTCTTCTCGTAGCTCTCCATTTAGAAAGGCTGACTTGACGTCTAGCTGATAAATTTTCCATTTCTTCTGAGCAGCAAGAGCTATGAGTGTTCTTATTGTGTCCATCCGGGCAACTGGTGCAAACGTCTCTGTGTAGTCAACTCCCGGTATTTGAGCATACCCCTTTGCAACCAGCCTTGCCTTATGCTTCTGAATTGAGCCATCGGGGTTCAGTTTTGTTTTATACACCCATTTGACTCCAATAACCTCCTTGTTATGTGGAAGATCTACCATTTCCCAAGTATCATTCTTTTCTATCATTTTGATCTCCTCCTCCATTGCTTTAATCCAAACTTTTTCTTTGGAGGTTTCGGTGTAGCTATATGGCTCCAAGGAGCAAAAGTTGCATGTTTCATAGATGTCAGTAGACTCATATAGGTCTGCTAGAGTTCTTACCCGAAGAGGTGGGGACTCTGGTGAGGAGTTGTGATTTCTTGATGTATTAGCTTCAAAAGAGGATCTTGGAGTAGACGTGGGGCTTTGTTGATCATGATTTTCCTCTTCTGGTATTTCCTCTAGTTGGACAGTAGTTGTCTTTCTTTCAACTTTTTCTGTCTCCCAATTCCAAGAGGCTTGCTCGTCAAACTCCACATCTCGACTTGTCACCAACTTCTTTGTCTCGAGATTGTAGATTCGATATCCCTTGGATTTGGAGCTATAGCCAAGGAAGATGCCCTTCTCTGTCTTGTCTTCTAATTTGTGCCTTTTAACAGAGGGAACATGAATGTAGCATATGCTTCCGAAGACCTTCAAATGTTTGGCTGAAGGCTTTTGTCCAGACCATGCCTCAATAGGTGTTTTGTTTAAAACCGCCTTAGTTGGATACCGGTTTAGAAGATAGACTGAAGTATATACTGCCTCTGCCCAGAACGTTTTAGGCATTCCTTTTTCAGCTAACATAGACCTTGCCATCTCCATGATTGTGCGGTTCTTCCTTTCGGATACCCCATTTTGTTGTGGAGTGTATGCTACTGTTAGTTGATGCTCTACACCTTCATCTTCGCAGAACTTGTCAAATTCTTTTGAGTTGTATTCGGTACCTCGATCGCTTCTCAACTTCTTGATTTGATGACCACTCTGTTTCTCCACGAAGTTCTTGAATCTCTTGAATATTCTAAAGACTTCGGATTTTTCTTGGAAAAAATACACCCATGTCATCCTAGAGTAATCATCGATGAAGAGTATGAAGTACCTGTTCTTCGAAACTGAAGGCGTGCGCATTGGACCGCAAACATCGGTGTGGACAAGCTCTAGTATCTGTTTGGCTCTCCATGTCTTTTCTGTTGGAAATGGTTGCCTGTGCTGCTTCCCAACCATACATCCTTCACATACTCCTTCTTTTTCATCCAGTAGAGGCATGTCTCTCATCATCTTCTTTTGGTGTAGTAATCTCAAGGCATTGAGATTGAAGTGCCCAAATCTTCGATGCCATAGACTCGTATCACTTAGTTGAGTCACCATCGCCTTTTGTGGATATTGCCATTGAATAGGAAAATTTCTATTATTTCCCATTTTTACTTCAACAATTTCTTGATTATTGTTCTTGTCATAAATTCGGCAAGAATTTTTCTCAAAGTGCAAGGCATATCCACTTTCCATCATTTGGCCAACACTTAGTAGATTTTGTGCAAGGCGTGGCACTAGGAGAACGTTTCTAATAAAGCGCGTACCTTTCTTTGTATCTATGACAATGGTACCTTTCCCCTTTGCCTCCACCAAATCGCCATTGCCCATCTTGACTTTTGTCTTGATAGAGGTATCTAAGTCATGGAAGATGGTCTCGTTGGATGTCATGTGATTGCTGCACCCACTATCGATGTACCACTCTTCTTCTTTTGCGTCTATGGCTGAGTGACATGCGTAGAACATGTACTCCTTCTCCTTAAAATCTTCAGAATAGTTGGCCTGATAGTTTCTTCTATCTCTGCAATCTTTTTCTTCATGCCCGAACCTCTTGCAATTTCTGCATTGTGCCTTTCCTCGATGGTAGCAATCTTTCTCTATGTGATTAGTCTTCTTGCATATTTTGCATGGTGGAAAGTTCGTCTTCCTCTCCTTATTGTTAGAATTCCCATCTTTATGTGGTTTAAAGTTTTCACCATTTCTCGAGTGATTCCTTTTAATGTTGAGCTTAGACTGGAAGGCACTTTCTAATGAACTTTCGTGTCGTCTGTTCAGCCTTTGCTCACGTGCTTCTAGCGACCCCATTAATTCAGTGATGGACATTTTTGATAGATCTTTTGACTCCTCAATAGCCGAAACTACTGGATCATATTTTTCAGGGAGACTGATTAGGACTTTCTGGATTATTCTCTCGTCGGTTATGTTTTCTCCAAGAGTTCTCATTTCGTTGACTATATGTATAACCCGAGAGAAATAATCTTTTGCCATTTCAGAATCTCTCATCTTTAAATTTTCGAGCTCTCTTCTTAAACTTTGTAATTTAATAGTTCTAACTTTCTCATTTCCTTGAAATTCCTCCTTAAGAATATCCCAAGCTTCTTTTGTCGTAGTAGCACGAATTATTCTCGGGAAAATAGTATCACAAACGGATTGTTGAAGAAGATAGAGAGCTCTAGCATTTTGCTGTTTTTGTTTCTTACGTACCTCGGAAGTTGATGCGTCGTCGCTTCCTTTTTCCGGCATGATGATTCCTTCTTCAACAATATCCCAGAGATCATGTGATTCTAGGCAAGTCTTCATACGGACACTCCAATAGTCATAGCTTTCTCCATTGAACATCGGAGTTGATACCGAGAAGCTTGATGTCGTCATAATGCCCGCTTATGATCGAACCTGTCTCTGATACCACTTGTTAGAAAATAGAAGAGGTTGTTGGTTGTATGAATAGAATAAGTGATTTTAGTGAGGTGTAATGTAGATGATGTGTTTTAGAGGAGAGCTCTTGTCTCTAGAAAAGTAGTATTGTATTGATGTTTCTTGGTTTTGCTTGGTTTGCAAATGAGTACAATGAGTCCTATTTATAGGAGCTAGAGGATCATTCTAGATCCTTATTAAATGCTATGATTCTAGAGTATTCTACATCTATGTCTAATTACTCTAGATTTTACATAAGAATTCTCTAGTAGAGAATTTTCTAGAATACTTTCTAGCTTTAACTCTCTAGATCATCTCTAGCCTTTTCTACATAGAATATTCTAGATAAATGCATCACTATTTAATACTTGGTTTCTCCGGCGGGCTTTCTTCGTTCGGAAGCCCTAAATCCCCTAATTCTAAGCAGACAACCTCTTCAAAGAGGTTGGGTTTGGGAGGGTTTTACCATCTTGGCTCTTCTTCACTTCTTAAAACTGGCAAATGTTTTCACAGTGGTTATCACATTGCCACATCTCAGAGGTTAGTAGATTATATTTGTACATAAAATAGCTCGTTTTGCATTATTAATACGATATAAAGTACGATCAGTGAAAATACTACTTGCAGAAGTTTTGGGGTATGCTTTAGCGCCGGGGCCGGCATTGAACCAGCAGCTGCTGGATCTTTCCCAGATCCTAATACACTGTAAGCTAGCTACCTAGTTGATTAATTACAGAGCAGAGAAACTCAATTCAAAGAGAGAAGTAATTACATTTGATCGGAAATTAATCTTAACAACCCCGTATTAATTTTGGAATTTTTCCTTCCTCTTATGGTCAAGTTACGTAATTAATTACTCTGCTTTGAACATTTAATTTTCCTATTTGCAGAAAGGGTTGGCTGATTGGGATTCTGATATCTATGGTTATACCATTTCTCCGTCACAAATTAGGGTCTCTTACGCAAATTAAAAGTAATACTCGCGTTTACTTTTCATTATCTTTTTCAGCAACGTCCATTATACTCCGTAGTACTGTAGTAGCTCAAATTTACTTTTGAAAAACCTAGGATATTGTCTTTGACGGTTTAAAAGGGGGATATGCTTTTCCCTTGATCACCTTAATGAATCAAAATTCTACGTTCCTAAGTCATCATCTAATAATTAAATTTAATTATTACAAGTCTTGTTGTTTGCCTTTTAATCTTCCGGTTTTAATTCTTTGACTTTGTGTGGGTGCCTTACAGATTCTATAGAACAGGCGGAAGAAGTGGTCCACAGTTTAGAGAAGGTGGCGGAGGTGGTGGACAAAGTGGCTGAAGATATAGGTGAGAATCTTCCGGCCGGAAAATTGAAAGATGCGGTGGCGTTGGTGGAACATGCGGCTGAGAAAGCGGATAAGAATGCTGAAAAGTTAGAAGAGCTAATTGATAAGGTGGAAGAAATGGAAGAAAAGGTGGAGGAAGGCATTGAGTCGTTTGTTGAAATGGCGAGCAACAAATCTCAAGAATATACTCTTAATAAATCTGCAAGTGTGAAAAATTTGTAAACCCAAAATGGAGTACGGACAATTTCACCAGTTTTACTTTCTTTTTTTATTATTTCAAAATAAGTATCATATTATTTTAGTTTCAAGCAAATTTGTGGAATTAACAATAATTTTTTTGAGAATATACTATGTAGTAGTTTTAGAGTTAGAGATGGACTAAACATAAAATAATTGCAAGGACTTAAAATGATGTGTATCATATTTGCAAGGACTAAAATTGTATTATAAGTTTATAACTATAATCTAAATAATCTAAATTTGAATTTTGAGGATTTTCTTTTACAATAATTTCCCTAAACCGCTACAAAAAACAATGGTGTTGCCACGTAAGTAATACGAATTGATCGAATTTGACACAAATCATAACTACAAATATCTCGTTCCAAAACCGCATTGGCATAAATTCTGTAACAAATTTGGCAGAGATTCACGAATCCATGCTAAATCCGTTACAAATCCCCAGAAGATTTTGGCAAATTCTAGCCAAAGAGGCAATTCAAAGATATATTCCAAATCTAAATCGTGATATTTTAAAAAAAATATGTATTTTACACTATTTTCGTCCAATTAAAATATTGCACTTTATACTGCTGTTACAGCATGATATTACCGCACAACCTTATTGCTCATCAAGTCAGAATCAATGTACTTCTCGCCAACATTAATTCTCTTCTCATCCACGTTAGGAATTTATTTATAGTTCTTTTTTGTATTTAGTTTTAGATGCAATAACTTTAAATTAAGATTTTAAGTCCAGTTAAATATATTACATCTCGTGTCGTTGTTATTGCTCTATTGCCTTCGATTCACTGTACAAGACATTTCATTAATGCATTCATTCATTGTCTATGTACAACACTATCTAATGTCATGCTCACTATTCATATTCAACACTATCTACTGTCCTTTTCACTGTTCATGTTCACAAAGCCTAATTTCATAAAAGAAAAATAAATGTTGCCACTGCGGCAACGTGACATGGACACGATTCAACCACGTCAACCTGACATGGAGACAACTCTGGCGACTACAAGTAGCTGCATAGGCAAAGGAACGGCCGCGAAGCTGCAACATGGAGAGAACCGCATTGACGCTACATGTGAGCGGCGACAACGGCACATGCATGGAGGCAGAGGCGGTGTCGTGCATGCATGGAGAAAGAGGCGGCGCCACACAGGCATGGGGACGAAGGCGGCATCATGGCATGGGGACGGACGCGAAAAGCAGACATGGATACAATGGCGATGACTGCGGGTAGGCACGTAGGCATGGAGACTGCCGCGACATAGGAGCTGCGGCTAACAAGCGGCGACGAGGGCGGCGGTTGCCGCAGCGACGAGCTAATGGATAGGTTTTTTAGAAAACGAGAAGAAAGTTAGGGTTTTATAAAATCAATCTAAGGGCATATTAGTCCATAAAAATTACTCCCTCCGTCCCAAAATTATTGTTCCGCTTTCCTTTTTGGTCTGTCCCGAAATAATTGTCCCGTTTCTAAAAATTCCTTATTTGGTAAACAAATCTATACCAAACAGTGTCAAACAGTGCAAAACAGTCCAAAACAGTGTCGCTACAGTGTCAAACAGTGTTGCTACAGTGCCAAACAATGTCGCTACAGTGCCATTTTCTTAATCTGTGTGAAAAACCAAACGGGACAATAATTTTGAGATGGAGGGAGTATTTGTTAATTAATGAATGAATTAAATATTATGAATGTAAATATTATTTTGGAAAAAAACTAATGAGATCTTAGATTGGGAAAGTTGATAGTTTCAGTCATACTTAGAATAATTTTCATTGTTACCTCTGTGAGCAGCATCATGCTAATCGTGGGCTACTTCCATGGTATTACAATTGAAACACTTCTTGTTGTATATTGGAAACCGATTCTACTCGTTCAAATAAAAAATAGTTTTGAACGTCTCAAATGTCACATTTAGGATGTTTTAATTTGGACTGTAATTTGTTGGTCTGATCTGGTCTGTTTAAGTCTGACCTGATCTGGTCTTGTCTGGTAAAGTCTGGTCTCTGTGTATTTTATAACTTTGGAAGTCAAGTATGCTCCAATTTGGTCTGTTTAAGTCTGGTCTGGTCTGGTCTTGCCTGGTCTGTTTATGTCTAGTCTAATCTGGTCCGGTTTGGGACTGAAAACAGTCTAAGCAAAAAAAAAACTTACGTCGATAGTTACTATACGTTGCACATGAATCTAGGGGGGTCTACTGTATTAGGAATTAGTGGCAAAACTTTAAAAGTTCATTGATTTTAAAAGTTTAGATGTATTCAATGTGGACTTTTAAAGTCTACAAAAGTAAATGTGTATTCAATGTAGACTTAAAAGTCTACAAAAGTCTAGGCGAATTCAAACTTCCTTCCATTCTCATTGACTTCTAAAATAATGAATTTTCGTAGAGTTTTAACTCACTCTTACTCTTAGTACAATAATTCTCTGCAATTGTCTTTCCTCCTCACCAAAGATTTATGTGGACTTTTCTGTTGTACGTCTTCTACTCGTCACAAGTGTGCATAGATCCGGTTGTTGATTTGGCTAATTATTTACCAGAATCACAAACCGTCCGACAAGTCTTGGACTAGTATCGGCCAACAAGTCCTGGACTACTACCGGCCGAGTCAGGAAGTGAATATCAGGATGGTCTCAATATGCAAGATTTGAACATGAAAGTTTTTTTTATCTTTTTACGATAAATAAAGAACAAGGAGATTCTACATTAATAATGATATTTTTTCTTGCAACATTGTGATTTTTGCAACATATTTTTATAATATCAGGAGGAGATTTTTTTTGCTCCGTTCTTTAATTCTTGCAACATTGTGATTTTTACACAATTCACAGACCTTATTTTGACCATGATTTTCTACTAATATACATAATCAAATTATTACATATAAAATATTACTCCCTCCGTCCCCCTGTTATTGTCCCATTGCGGTTTACGATGTTTGACCGACGATAAAGCAAACAGATCCCTGTCTGCACTCAAATTATTTTTAGGAAAAAAAATTACATATTCAGAAACTACATTAAAAGATTTACAAAGTCGCAAAAATCAGAATCAAATTTGATAAAAATTTGATAAATAAAGTAAGAGATTAAGAGTGATTTGTGTTGACCAAGTGAATAGAAAATGAGACAATAACAGGGGGACGGAGGGAGTATTAAAATTCTATGAATGTGAATTTCCAAAATATCAATTTTTATAATGTTTACTAATACATAATTAAATATAATTAGAGTCAAAGTTGTGCATTGACAAACATGAAAGTCAAATTGTTGTAAGAATTAAAGAACGGAGAATAGTACAAGATAAACTATAAAAAAAACTTAACCAAGCATTCCAGCTCTGCTGGTTGCGAGATTACCGTACCTAGTGAGAGGTCTGAAGTTCAAAACCCGCTACGCACATAAGAGTTTGAAACTCAATAGAGTGAGTTTCAGACCTGATTACTCCAGGCCCCCCAGGCCCCCGCCCCCAGACCCTCTGGGGTAAAAAAAACTTAAAACACTTTAAAAATGATTATTTAAAGTGATACTTTAAAAAAACTATTGAAATCGATTCAGTTCATGAAAGAAAATTAGGAACCATTTGAATAACTGTTAATCCCATATCGATTTGATTCTAAAAGTTTTTAAAAGAACCGATATAAGAATCGAAAGTTGTACATCGCTGTAATTCTAGTACGTTGTCAGTTAACCATTGAGATTTTTTGAACTATTACCATGTTTCATCGTTAAACCACTAACACATAAAAATAAAATTTGAAATTAATAAATACTTAACCATAAATAAGTAAACAAAATTTAACGAGCATAAAATGAAAAGAAAACAATTATTAAGAATAGGCTAAAGGCTCAAATAGGTACATGAACTAACTTAAAGTGTTCAATTAGCCTCTTGTATAGGAGGTTCTGCTCGACCGTCGCCAATTGGGGCGGTTCCCGATGGTATTTTTTGATGAAATCTTTTGAGCATCTTCTTCATTAAGTCTAGTTTACCCATACCAAATTTCAGCTAAAAATTCAACTGAGAAAGCAGTCAAATGATTTTTTGAAGATAACTGCGCAGTTAAGCAGCGCATTACATTCCGGAAAATCATTTGACTGCCTTCCCGATTTAATTTTAGCTGAAAATTGATATGAGTAAACTAGACTTAATGAAGACGATGCTTAAAAAATTTCATAAATAAATTCCATCGGGGACCACCCCAATTGGCGACGACCAGACAGAACCTCCTAAATAAGGGGCTAATTGAACACTTTAAGTTAGTTCATGTACCTATTTGACCCTTTAGCCTTAAGAACAAAAGCTCGATTACACCTATGTTTGTACCATATGTAGCAATGAGCTGAGTGTAACACTTGTGTAATGATTAATGTTCTTACACATTGAGTTGTGTAATATAACAATTGAAAACTGTCAAATAAGCTTTCGTAATATACCAAAAAAGTCAATTAAACCTCTGATCTAAATAAACACCAAATTAAGCCCACCAACTTTACAAAAGCAATCAAATTTATAATTTAACAGGTGATGATCCGATTACCCTGTCATATAGCTGACGTGGCAATCCACATATTTATGTTTTTTTTCTTTGTTTTTTTTCTCTTTCTCTTTCTTTAGTTCGTTCTCGATCTACTCCCGCTACTTTCTTCTTCCACCGCTCCCTTCTTCCTTCTTGCTTTCTTTTCTCTCTTTTCTCCCCCTTCCTCCTCCTCCTCCTTCCAAGGGCGGGTCTAGCATTGCCATTTAGGTGGGGCCAAATTTTAATTAAATAACTAATATTGTGAACGTTTTTGTGGTTTTGAATATGAGCCAAAAAAATTAATTTGTTCAATACATTGGGCTTGCATTGGTACATGAAAATTAGTTCAATATATATATATATATATATATATATATATATATATATATATATATATACTCCCTCCGTCCCTAAATAAAAGCATCTGTTTCCTTTTCGGGCCGTCCCTAAATAAAAGTTCCCTTTCCTTTTTTGGCAAACAAAACAGTGCAAAACAGTGCCAAACAGTGTCCAAACAGTGCCAAACAGTACCAACCAAACCCACTTTCTTA